TTGATGGTCTACATCGGTGCTAACGACATGTAGGTACTTATTTTGACTTATACTTGTAGAACCTTCGATATCTACAAGCTACGCCTTTACTGCTAGTTTTTTGGTATTTATGTATGTAAGTTGTTATTCAGTTGAAATTAAGCTGCGAAATTACAGGGTCCTTGGACATAACATCTATGTTCTCCAGAATGATTACATATGAGGGATATAGCGGGTACGACATGATGACGTAATGTTTGTAATGTTCTTTAATAATTTATGTGTATGTATGTACTCGTACGTCGGATAGCGTCGTGGTTGGATGGATGGTCAGCTTATTTACCATTTCAATTAATAATAGTAGGTAGTAACTTTTGACAATATGGATGAGGGAGGGTAATGGTGATGATGATGAGACCACCATAAAATTCATCATTGTCAGCATTCTCAACATTATCTTCATTGTCATGATGATTGGGATGAAATTAATTAATTTATTAAAAAAGTAGCAAGTATTAAGTAGGTAGTAAGTCCTTATATGACTTAAATATAATACAAGGTTCTGGGGTGCTGTGATATACTACAGTCTCTCGATTTTGTTTCTTATTAGTATTCCATGACCAAAGTCTATAGACAGATAAATATTATGTATAGAGAGAAATATAGATTAACACAAAGTTTTTAGACGAAAATGGGCATTATTATACACATTGCATTAAAAAATATATATCATATATATTTTTAATGCCACCATACCATCTAATACAAAATCATTATATAGTAAATTATTCCTTAAATTTAAATCGAATGAAGTGAGACTAACATTGCATGTACATAACACTTGAAGATCGTAATAATGGTTTAAATCAATCACTTAGACCACGGTTCGTCCGAATTTTAACAGTTTTTTTTGTAAAAAGACTGTAAGTTTCTAGCTTTAATAATGACGGTTCATTCATACAAGCTTGAATCTACCCTTTCAACCCCCTTACAACCCTATGGCTGTATACGTATATAAATATATTATATAGGCGCGCGCAACTTAAATATGTCACTTTGTTGTCTCACATAAAATTAAATTAGATAATCGTTTGCTTTGTAATTTTATTTAAATATACATAAATATAATCCAGATAAAACCCATAACTCTTTTTCACATTAAAAAGTAACCTATGTACTTAGGGTGTAGTCTATCTGTATTTCAAATTTCATTTAAATCGGTTTAGTAGTTTTGACGTGTAAGCGAGACAGACAGACAGAGTTATTTTCACACTTATAATAAACTAACCCAAGATGCAAATTAAAAAAGTTTCTTTGTTCCAACTTCAAAAATGCCAAATTCACATAAAAACTTTCATCCCTTATTTTATTTTAGCCCCTTAAGGGCAATTTTTTTATAAACTTTGAATGTCATATATATTTAATCAACAGCCTCAAAAATAAGTTTCGAGTTTCTAGCTTCTAAAATGACGAATTAACATAAAAACTTCCATTCTCTATTTTATTTAACCTCCTTAAGTGTACAGTTTTTACAAACTTTGAATGTGATATTTATTTATATTTAATCAACAACCTCGAAAATAAGCTTCTAGCTTCACGAATAACGATTCTTCTATACAATCTTTGATTCCCCCTTTTCAACACCTTACAACTCTTTTTTTCGCATTAAAAAGTAGCTTATGTCATTTCTCGGGGTCTAGATATCTGTGTACTAAATTTTATTTAAATCGGTTCAGTAGTTTTGATGTAAAAGCGAGACAGACAGACAGAGTTACTTTCGCATTTATAATATTAGTAAGGATGGTACACTAATTTATGGGTAAGGTCCAAGATGCTGATATCTAAACAGAAGCCTTACCTTTTCTAATAAACAAAATTAAAATATATATATAACCTACCTTTATATAACAGTTTTTATGATATAACCATGTGGCATAGCAAATTAGCTATAATCTTATATCCTATTAATTTAATAAAGGTTATCTAGAAGAGATTGCTTATGCGATAAGACTGCCTTTTGTGCCTATCTGTTTATATTTTTTGTAATATACTTCGGTGCAATAAAGAGTAAATAAATAAGTAAATAAAATAAAAAACTATCACACTATTATTAACAGCAAAATATTGTTTCTTGTTTTGAGTTTGCTGTCTCAACTATCAAGCTACCTATGATAATTGAGGCAGCAAAAATATATCTGAAATATAATATTCTCACACATATCAGTGTTGGCAGAAAACAATACTTTTTAATTAATTAAGGTACAGTAACTGGAGGTCATTACTACTTCATGGATTTGTGTGTCACCAATTAACAATGTGCTGGGGGCATTACTACCTACTGTATACTGTTGCACTTTATGTATCTTAGTTTATGATTTTGAAAACAAAAGGAATGATTATGAACATCAGTCATACACCTTTGTAATAAAAAATGCCTATCATAACTACTGTTATCACAAGCATGTGGCAGGAGCTGACTATAGTATTAATTGTTTTTGGCATATGTGTCAATAATAATTAAGGTTGATGATGACGATGTTAGGGCTGATAAAGACTATGATAATTTAGATATGTCCATATTCTTTAATAACTTTATAAATTAATGTCATTTGTATTAAATATATTGTGATTATCTATTTAGTTCTTAAGATACCTATTGAATACATGAATAATATTTTTATGAAACAATAAATTATTATGTGCACGTTTATATCAGAAAATAAAAAAAATACTTCATTTTATATTTCTTTACTTCCTACTTCCTAAACCTTATAAGAATAATTGAATTTCTATTATATTTCGCTAGTTTTCATAATCATATACACAAGCTTAGAATTTCTGTTGTAAGTATAATAAATTTAGGTCAATCGTTGAGTTGAAATATTAGGTTTTATCTATACAAATAAATATATATTTTTTTTATATTATAATATTAATTTATAATTATTTACAGTAATATTAATTTTACTCGGCTTTTGCTAGTTTTTCACCACACTTACGGGCCGAAACCAAGTAAGTGCAGTGTGTGTGTATGTATGAATGTGTATTTGTGTGAATGTGTGTACTTATTGTGTGACTGGTATTATGTCCTTTTCTTCTATTTCCAGAAATTTCCGGACAGTTCGATTAGTATAGTTATTATACCAGTTTTTCAATAAATACATATGGAAGAAAAGGCACTTACACAACAAAAGGTTTAAAAAATTTTGTCTGTCTGGTTGTTCATGCTAATTTAATCTCTAAAACAGCTCCATCTATTTTAACGGATCTTTTACTCGCAGCTAATATTTTATAGAGTTTATATATAGTAATTTATGCTACTTATCTTTTAGAAATTTTAATTATTTTAATAAAAATAAATAAAATTCCATACGCACGAAGTCATTTTATATCAAATTCAAATTCAAATTCAAAAATCATTTACTCATGTAGGACATTTTAGCCGCTTATGAACGTCAAATTTTTACATTATAATTTTATTTTTTTCCCTACCGTCCAGTTCGGTATATAGATCCAATTGAGAAGAACTGGCAAGAAACTCAATTGAATTACTTTTTTTTAAAGCCAGTTTATTTACAATGTATATTTATATAGGTGTCTATGTCTAACATTAAATGAAAATTCAGTGCATGAACAACTATTGCCATGCACACTCGTCATTCAAGTAATCGTTTAGTGAGTAATAGGCTTTGCTCAGTAAATATGATTTAACAGATGTTTTGAATTTATTTAAGGGTAATTCCAACATATCCTTTGGTATCTTATTGTAAATTTTTATACCTATTCCCATAAAAGACCTATTAACTTTTTCTAAACGATACTTGGGGACAGCAAGTTTGTCTTTAAATCTTGTATTAATATTATGAATATTGCTGTTTTTTGGAAATAAGTCAAGATTTTTATGAACATATAGGATATTTGAATATATAAATTGAGAAGCAACGGTGAGAATATTTGCCTCTTTGAATTTCTCTCTTAATGAGTCACGACTCTTCATACAGTAGATCGCTCGAACGGCACGTTTTTGTAATATGAATATATTTTTAATATCAGCCGCTTTTCCCCATAGTAATATTCCATAAGAGAGTAAACTATGAAAATAACTAAAATAGACTAATCTAGCAGTATCAGTATCAGTGTACTGTCTAACCTTACGCACGGCAAAAGCTGCTGAACTTAGTTTCGCTGCAAGGCTTTGAATTTGTGCACCCCATTGTGTTTTATTATATTACCCTTGAGGGTAACATATAATATGGTATAAAATATTTCATGACTTACCTATGTTGAGGCTACTAGCAGATATGTAAAAGATAATTATCATATTAGATATATGATATTTCCTAAAAAATAACTTTCTATTCATTGATATACAAAAAAGAATTATCCTGAGTACCTTGTACCTAACAAATCGTTTTCATGGGGACATCTCTAATCAAACACTACGAAATTCATATTTAAATCTAAATTACGCCAATATCTTTACTAAAATCATAATAAACATTTTTCTAATTTCAAAGTTAAATAGTATTATTTTTACATATGCATCTGAACATTCACTGTTCATTTCCATATATATTTATTTGTATGTGTATATATTATTTATTTATATCATGTATCTTAATAGTACTATTATAAATGCAAAAGTTTGTAAGTATGAATGTTTATTATTATTATTATATTTTACGCAAAAACTACTGGACGGATTTTGATGAAACTTTACAGTAATATAGCTTATGCATGAGAATAACATATAGGCTATATGTTTTATTGAAATTTAACGCAGATGAAACCGCGGGCACAGCTAGCTATGTATAATTATGAACTCATTTAATCGGAATCATAGTTTTATTTGTACATTGTTATTTAAAATAAATATCTAAATTGTTTTGGTGTTATACATTTTATATGTAATATATGTTATATTTTTTTAGGAAGAGAAGTATATAGCGGAGTTTAAAGTACCAAGATTCGTCCTTTACACTCCATCCAATAATGTAACTGATGAATTAATGACCAAGGTTGGGAAGAAACTGAAGCTGACAAATTATTCTTTCAACCTAGGTATGTAGTAATTCCATTAGAAGACTATAAACTCTGGTACAAAGTATTTGAATTTGCAATTTTGTAAGTATGCGTGCAAACTATTACATAGAGAAGTAGTTCCCAATTAGTTTTTGCTGCGTACCATTTCAAAAAAGACCTCAAACCTTGCGTATCCCTTGATGGGTGACGGGTGGCGGGGGCAGCCGAATGACGAGATGCGGCAGGCGCGCGATAGCGCACGGTCGGTCATAGTGCTCGGTGCTTCGGTGGTCCGTGCTTTTACGATGACCCTTGATGGGTGACGGGTGGCGGGGGCAGCCGAATGACGAGATGCGGCAGGCGCGCGATAGCGCACGGTCGGTCATAGTGCTCGGTGCTTCGGTGGTCCGTGCTTTTACGATGACCCTTGATGGGTGACGGGTGGCGGGGGCAGCCGAATGACGAGATGCGGCAGGCGCGCGATAGCGCACGGTCGGTCATAGTGCTCGGTGCTTCGGTGGTCCGTGCTTTTACGATGATGATCGTTATAAAATAATATTTTGGAAATTTTTCTTATTATTACTGATAGCCGCGCATCTATCCATTGATGCAACTTCACGTACCCCTGGAGGTACGCGTACCACTAATTGGGAAATACCGACATAGAGTATACATTTAAGGCCCTACTGAGGGTGTCATATATTATTATATGTATATATAGTTTATGCATTTACAACCGATTTGATTGATATATAGGACAGTTTTAAATAGCAGTAATCTAATTTCTTAAAGCAGAAAGAGAAACATCTGATGTATACTTGCAATTCATTTATTTGGGTATTTGTAAATATATGTAAATAAATAATCACATAGATAATAACAATTAAAAGGTACTTCTCTTTATTCTTTAGAACTCCAATATATTAACAACACTAGGAATAAAGTATATCTAGTGATCATGTGGGCCGCAGTCCTTATTATTTTTGCAGAGAGCTCTGCTGTAGTATGATATGGTTAAAACGACCCTGTCTCTGCCTACCTTTTAAGAGAGCAAGGTGTAATCATACATAGATCAAATATTTACATTCATCCACCAATAATACGAAGTCAAAATGTTGACTACTGACTTGATTATTTTATTTTGTCTTGAGAATTGTTAGATATATTATCAAAAATGTGTTTTTTTTATATACTCGATCGCATTTAATTTTTTGTTTTTTATTTATTAGGTCACCAACAAGGTTTACACCAACACTGTTACATTACAATATATTTATTATACTAAGCGCAACCTTAATTATAGGCAACTACGACATTTATGTGACAAATTTATGCTTACAATTAAATTAATATTGTTAGTTTTTTTTTCATGATTTTGATGTTAATTTTTTTTTTTTAATTAATAATAATAATCTCAGGACAGTTCACACAGCGCCATCTAGACTCAAGTTAAGCTAGCTAAAGCTTGTGTTATGGGTCCTAGACAACTGATACAAATACATAGATTTTTTTTTTTTTTTTCGTAAATACATACATATTATACATAGAAAATACCCAGACCGATACAAACAATCATACTCATGAATACAAATGTTTGTGCCGTGCGAGGAATCGAACCCGCGACCATCGGTCGTAAAGCGGTAGACTGGACCGCTAGACCACCGAGGTCGTCAAAACTAAAACAAAAACCACTGTATCAGTAGCAAGTTACGTCAAATATAATTTCAATCCAATTTTTGATAGTGCAAGTCCAGAGTACAAGATTGATATTGAGACTAGAATCTAGAGTGGACCTGTTAGAAAGTCTAATGTTTTGTTGTATCATATCATAGTATGTATGTGTATGTGTTCTAACAATAATAATATTTGAATCCAGCACACAATGCCCGAGGTTATCAATCTGTCACAAATGAAACTTCAGTTCTGAACTACATGAAAGACGGCGATGCAATTGTCATATTTCAGGTTAATATTATTATTTATTACCATATTGTTTATATGAAATGTAAGGAATATTCGCATTTGCTTTTACATTCGTATTCACATTAGCTAAATAATTTACGAATGCTTTGGGAATATCGATGTTCGATAATAACGACGTGTAAGTAATTAATACTAATTTCGTGCGGCAACTTAGTTGTTAAAACAGAGAAAACCAAATTGTTCCATATTTTAAAATTATTATTCTCATTTGTTTTTGTGAATATCGGCGACAAATATTCTCGTTCCCATTAGCGAATGCTTAAAATTTATATTCGTTACATCTATGTAGTACACTACCTATGCGTTTTGTATGGATCTGTGTGTATAACTGTTATTTGTTTTCTTGCAGAACAATGGTACTTTACCCTGGACCCATCTAAACTACACAATTAGAATGAAAACACAATTTCACATAAATATATACGAACCGTTGGATGGAAAATACGAGCCACACTTGCTGTATGGTAAGTTTCATTTATTATTTGTAAATTTTTTAACATCATTGTATACTTTATCTCGTGTGGATTCCAAATGACAGCGATACTTTCTAAAATACTCCTTAGGTAAGTATTATACAGAATTTTAACTTCAATATCATTTCTGATGGTCGGGTTTGCCTCAGTACAAACCCTGCTCTGTTTGCTCTGAGACATACCCCAACGGTATATTCACAAAGGGATAAATCCTCACTCATTAATATTCGTAAATCGCTAACAGAGGTAACTCTTCGTATGCATACGTGGAGTCTAAACAATAAAGAAAATTAATAGGGTTCCCTAATCAACTAAATGTTAACACTAAATCACAGATAATATCAATATATTAATTTTAAAGTGTTATTTCATATGTATGTTAGTCTATAAGCTATTTATTATATGGGCCTAGTTGCTTGAAATAAATAAATTAAGTAAGCATTGTCATTCTTCTCACTGATGAACAACAACATATAACACGTCTTCATATGTTAAATCTCTTGCGTTGGGGGATTGTTGGGGATTGTCAATCTAATGATGCCATTGCTAGCAATGTACAAGTAATTTGCCCTCTCCTTGATTCCCCCTGGAATCGAATGTGATAAATTACTGCTGAATTTACCAGCATGTGCTAATTGACCTGACCTTAAAAAAAACAATGTCATCAGATGTAAATTGGCACATTTAAAAATAATTATAATAAAGTCGATGAAATCACCACTCGGAGTTCAACGAAAAAAAACGAAGCGAAGCTGCAATGAAAAATGATGCAAAAACATAGCAAATGTGATGCAGCCAAAGTTACACAACTCGGCTAGTAACTACTTTTATACTAATATTATAAAGTGGTTCAGTATTTTTGAAAATTATCCTTATTTTAATATAATTTGGTTTGCTGTTATTTGGACAATAATGGTTAGTAAAGGTATAACTTATTTATTTGTGAACCTCACTCCGATTTATCCTCTGCCATTCTAACGGAGATCGAAATTACAAGGGATTGGGCCAACATTCAAGCTCCCGGATTAATTTCATATAAGTCGTATCGTATTTTTAGTAATAAAGTTTTGATAACACATAATTCTGAAAATAAATTCCAAAGTTAACAATACCTTTTTTATTAGGTTGATTCATTTATCAATTATCTGGTGATTATATCGCGACGTTTTTAATATATGAAAAATAGTTTTGTTTTTTTTTTTTCGTATAAAAATAAAGTTCCTTATTTGTTTAAAAAATGCGTATCGAAAACCATATACATATTTCCTATATTATGCTTTACCACTTCGAGAAAGGATGGAAAGCAGTACAGTCATTTCGCGATCGCAACTAACTTTTTCACAATGACACATTTAACCAAAGTTAGTGGTTTACCCGTTTTAAATCAGTTGATACTAGCTTGGAGGATAAGCCAGTAAGAGGTCAGCCATAGGATTTCGATGATCAGGCTCTTCTGGCAGCCATGGAAGACGACCAGAGCTTGACATTACGAATGTTGGCTGGACACTTCAATGTCAATCAATCCAAGGTGGGTGGATGGATGGATCCCCCACGAGCTTTTCGACAATAACAGAGCCGATTGCATTCGAATTTTCACCTAGTTACTGCACAAGACTATATCCTGAAGATATCCTGATCCAGAATAACCTACCATAATCATAAGTTTTGCTCTGGCTTCTAGTTTATTCGGTTTTGGTAAAGTTACTCGCCAAGCCTTTGATCCGAAAACTTTCATTTTAACAATGTTATTGGATCCATACCAAATTGAAGCTGGTGTTTTATATTGCAACACTCTACTCGGACATCTATTTAGTTCATATGAAGAACAACAAACAGCTTTTCCCCATAATTCTTTTGGTAAATTAGTTTCTACAAATTTGGTTCGTGTTGTATTCAATAATGATCTATTCATTCTTTCACTAGTTCCGTTTTGCATTGGAGTATATGGTAAAGTATATTGTAGTACAATACCTTTTTGCCTGTAGTACAATACCTTCTGGTACTCTTACCTTCAGTACAGCTGTCACATACTTTATTGGATAACGGGAGCCCTAAAATCCTTAAACCTTTTCTATTCAAATGACATAATCTCCTATGCCATAATGAGGCAATCTTGTCATCTCTTTCATTCAACATATATTTATTTACACATATATCAAAATTAATTATATGTAAACGTGACTTTAATTGACCTGTAATTACCTTTTCTCTATTATATATTGATACAAAATCTTCATGAAATTTTATTTCTAATTTCTTAGATAAAAGCTGTCTAACTGACAATAAATTATATGACAAATTCTCTACTATTAAACATTAAATCGTTATATTTTCATTTTGACAATTGACATTTATTTTACCCTTTTCTTTACTTGTTAAACATTGGCCATTTGCAACATAAATCTTTATTTCTTCAATTTCCCTAATATCGTACATAAAACCTTTATAAGAAGATTTTATCAAATGTTTAGTCGCTCCTGAATCTATAATAAATTTTATTGTATTATCGTTAGTATTTTCACCATATGTTACCTGTTCCTTCTCACCGAAAGCTGTAAATAGCCACTGTTATAGATAACATGACATGTTATCTTCATCCATAGCACATGTTGCTCTGTTAGAGGTGTACCTTTCTCGTCCTCTTATCATTGATCTTCCTTGCCATGGTCTTCCTCGCCCCCTCATATTAATTCGACCTGCTCCGTGCCAGGATCGACCTCGTCCTTGTATGGTGGACAAGGACGAGGATCTTTGTATCTCTTCTTTATTATACTGTTCTTGTTGATTTTTCTTACATTGAAATGACTTATGACCTCTTTTTCCACATGTATAGCAGCAGAAGATTTGTTCTGAAAGTATATCTGTCTGTTCTTTAGTTTTGTACTTAATTTCTGCATCTAGTAATCTTGCTTTGACGAAATCTATATTTATTTTATTTTCTAATAACATTGTTTCTATTGAAGTAATAATTGCGAAATAATTCGAAGGCATAGCGGATAATAGGTAGCATTTCTTATCTTCTTCTTGTACAGTACTGCCTATTCCGTTTAGTTATGTCATTAACCTATCGAAGTCATGAAGAAATGATGTACATTTTAATGTATAAGTTTTCTTTTTAAATGTAATTTATTAAAAATACTTTTCCTTTTAAATTGTCTTTCCAAAGCGGTAATCATTTCTAATGCGGTACTACAGTTTCTTATAATATCCAAATATTTATCGGATATACACTGCACGATTAAAAATTTTGCTGCATTATTACTTTTTTTTAAATATTTGTCATTCTCACCATTATAATTTTTATCAACTGTATGAATAACTATTTTTTCTTCTAAAAGCATCGTAGGTCTGAATTTCCAATCGACGAATAAATCGCCCTCCCGCAGGATCGGCAACAATTTTTCCATTTTATTTCAATTTAATTATTTTATTATATTTACTTTTATTTCATCATAGTTCGTGGGCTGCGCAGTGGAAGCGTGCTATTGGGATTTTATTTATGCAGAGGGCAAATAAGGACACACCATTTTATTTGCAGTCGTCTTTTTATTAATATGTTTTCTCTTTTTATATACAAATAATATATGTCAATATAACAAAGGAGTTTTATGTCCAACAATAATGAGATCTTAGTCTATTTTTAAATGTTGCTTGTGTTTGAGCTAATCGAATGGAGATTCGTAATAAGTTACAGAGGCGTTACAAAGGCGAGGCTTAGACAGTAAAAGAGTTGGAATAATATGTGGAGGAGTGAGTAGGGATTGTCAAACATAGTCTTCTGGCACTACGCAAGAAACCGGGGATTTAGTGTGAAATTGGGACTTCGTTTTTAGATATTTAGGAGTGGAGGGGTGGATACGAATAGAATAAAGAACGGATAACATATTATTCTTACGAAATTTAATGGGAAGCCACTTGAGTTGACTGCGAATATTGGAAATATTTACGGACACCAAAAAGGCATCGCCATCAGCGACGACGATGAAAACATCTTGCCACCTACACTATAATAGAAGGGAAAGAAAGAGGTCTTTTGCTTATACTTATTCTTGACTATCGTTTATATGCAAATCCCCGTATTCCTAGTATTTTTCCTGCATTTTCTATTTGCCTATGTACATACAAAAATAATACTAGAACAGTATTTGGTATGGCCAATTCTTCATTCATGTTCTCATTTCGTTATCAGTTTATCTACATTTATGGATAACTGTACAATATCAACAAAAACAGAGAATTTTTTAGGTCAACTATTCTACGCCGACAAATCACACACATACCTATATATGTGTGTGATTTGTTGGCGTAGAATAGTTTTTTTTTTCAGTTTTTTAAGTTGAATACAATATAAAACGTTTGAAGAATCCCCTGTCCAATTCCAGCGGAGATTTAAATTACGCCGGCCTCAGTCGAAGTTCGATCTCTAGCAATCCTGTCAGACAAATTGCTTGTATCCTTCAAGAGTCCTTCAGCCACTCCATAATACTTCCACTAGTATGCGGCAGTCTCCTCCTTAATCGCATTTTTATCCCATGAAAAGGCCAGCTGCGACCAACTTGCGGTATTAGAAAAATTTACTTGCTTTGTCTTAATTTTATTCTTTTAATGAACCCTGTGTTTTATATTTTTTTTATTAAATTCGTTGTCCATCACCACGTATAAAAAATTATCTTTCATTGTAAATGATGCTGGTAAGAACACCTGCCTCAAAAGGCGATTTTTCTAAATAATAATAATTAATATTCGTATCTGGTATCTTTTTTAGATTTCATTACCATACCATACGTAGGTGCATAGCGCATATATTTTAAATACATTGAGTCACAGTTACCTCGGACAATAGACTATTATACTATTGTTGTGGCAGGATAAGCATTATTATTTTGTACCTCATTATTTATATAGTCAGAATGGTCGACTATGCTAAGAGACATCCATGGGCGACAATGCCGCTCGAGGCACGTTCTTGTTGATCCCGACGATCCCATAAC